CCGGGGGGGGGGGGACTGAGAAAAATGAAGAGAAACTCAGTCAGGATAGGCAATGTCTGGCTGACACTAGAACTGAACACTTTCCAAATGCAGAACAGAAGCATTACCACTTGAACTATTTTATTTCTATTATTATTGGAGGGGGTGGGTTTCCCCATGCACCGCGACCAGTGGTCTACTGTACGTCCCCGTGATATTCTACCAGTCTCTATACCCTACCGATACTGGTGCATGCCATCAGTCCCGACTCAGCCAGCGAGTTCGGCCTCTACTGGCTCAGCGGTATCTCTTGATGCTTCCCCCATCTACCAGAGGCGTTACAGACTACCGTTGGGCGGGAAATGTCCTGAATTTGGCTCAGTGGTCCCCTTGGGACATGAGGTTCTTTTACGTGCTGTAAAGCTACGTCACGGGACCCACGGCTTAAAGTCCCTCCCGGATGACTTATTCCCTGAATTTTTCTGCCCTTAAAAATTAAATGACCTCCGCCGGGTTTGAACCCGCATACCTTGAGTCATGAGGTCGGAACGTTACCTCTAGACTACGGAGGCCGATTTGAGGTTGGGAGTTCTGGTGCTCAGTGACTCACGGTGACTGGGTGTCCGCACTAAGCTCAGCATCAATATGGGCGCCTTGGGGGAGCCTCAGGCGGCCAGGTTGGTTAATGAGGGGCGTACAGGGCCAGGGGGAAACCACTTGAACTAACTTGTGGAAAGGAAGGGAGAAGAAAATAAAAAGGGAAAATTATGTAACAGTTGCAAGAGGGTAATCTTGTTCGAGGTATACAGTCTATTATGCTTTGTTAACTACAAACTTCAGAACAAACTAACCAGCTTAACATCCTTCTTGGCTTTCAAAGATTCTTCTTTGATATTTTCAAAAGAAAGCTGTTTATCTTTCACAGACCACACTGAAAGGTGGTGCAGGACTTGGCGAACATCATGATTTGTACCAGTGATTATATCATTCAAAGTCTCAGGGGACATTTTTATTCCCTCCTTAAAACAAATGGACATCATAGCACCCTGAAAAAGAAAACATAAGAACACACAATTAAGTGTTGGATTTAACACTGTGGAAATGTCAACGGACTATAATAATTACAGAACAGAATTTCTAATGCTTTTTAACCTTTAACGGACGGACTTTTAAACTGCCGGGAGCCCTCTGTGGCTGGTATTTAAATCACCCTAATTAATCAACATTGCAAACTTTCAGAAAAAATACATATTTTCCGTTCTATGCAACATAGAAGTATGAACTAAAAACAACCTGAAAGACAATACAATTTTCTACATATACACAAAAGAGCAATTTTTACAAAAAAAATTAACTGTGATTATTTTGTCATGAAATGCAAAATATAATCTTTATTACATATTTTTTTTAAATTTTAAAGGACTTACCCATTGTTTTTTCTTCAACCTTGAATCATTGAATCATGGTGATATTGTAAATATAATCACACTATATACAATAATATCTTGTTCAGACTGTACACAAGTTTGAACTGCGTCACTTCACAGTTTACGATGCACTCTGACGTGCGTGGCACTTCTCGCAGCAGTCCACCTCACACAGAGTGACAGCACCCTTTTTACAATATAAGAGTGTACTCCTGCTTTTCTTATTTAGCGAAACACATAATGTCTCTGTTACCCTTTGGGTGGTCAGTGTTGTGAATGTTTGACCTCCAGTTGACTCAGTTGGGCCCCAGATAACCTTGGCCTAAACTCGAGAAACGCCACTGACCGTGATATTCGCTTTGTGCGATTCAAGAATCATCTTGGGGGAGGTGGGTTTCTAGCAAAATTGAATAAATTATGTTGATTGACAAAGCGTCATTCTCACCTGTTAGTAATACTTGCAAAATAGTGATGCAAAGTAATTATAAAACTAGTCGAAAAGAGTGCCAGTCCGACACTGATACTGATACTGAAAGTCGCAGTGTTGAAGATGTCTTTTACTCACAAAGTAATACTGGCTCAATGGGTTTATACCTCTTCCAAGACACAAAATAAAAATGATATACAAAGAAATATATGAGTCTGACACTGACTTTTTAACTGATAAAGAAATATTAGACAATCCAACACTGACTTCCTAACTGATAATTCGTCACTGAAAACCAATCCTTGAATGCGTCACACTTCCTTGAAGGCTCTGGAAGCACTCATTTGCAAGCACCGATGAATATTTCCTTATCAGTTCTCAAAACAAAGCTGGGCTATATTTGGCTGACCAGGTCATAAACAGTCATATACGAGGGTGAGTCAAATGAAAACCTTAAATCTGTAATAAAAAATCGAAATTTCGTGCTATTATCCTGTAAGTTGGTAAGCGTGCTACAAACAGCGTGCAGAATGGCCTGTAGGTTGGAGCATAGTGCAGATGCACGAACACCGTGACAACACCGGTATAAGATGGCTGCCCCACTTGAGACTTGCATCAGGGAAGAACAGCATTCTGTTATTCGGTTTTTGTGTAGTGAAGGTGTGAAACCTACTGAAATTTATCGAAGAATGAAGTTTCAGTATGGTGATGCATGTTTGTCACAGCAGCAAGTGTACGAATGGAGTAGTAGGAAGTTTGAAAATGGTGTGACTTCAGTGGAAGATGCTCCTCGTCCAGGTCAGGCACATCGAGTTGTGACTCCAAAGAACACTGCAGCAGTTGAAGCCATACTGAGGGAAAACCGCTGAGTGACACTGAATGAAATTGCAGCAAGTTTAAACATTAGTCATGGTTCAGCACACCACATTGCGCACGATGCGCTCCAATTTCACAAAGTGTCTGCAAGATGGGTGCCATGACAGCTGACTCCTGAATTGAAAGAACAATGTATTGATGCTTGTGAAGAACTTCTGCGGCGCTTTGAACGAGAAGGTGATGACTTCCTTGCAAGAATCATTACTGGGGACGAAAGCTGGGTTCACTTCCACCAACCGGAAACGAAGAGAGCAAGCAAGGATTGGCGCCATTCCTCATCTCCAAAACTGAAGAAGTTTCGAACACAACCATCAGCAGGGAAGGTTATGCCCTCTTTTGGGACGAAAAAGGCGTCATCTTGGAGCACTACATGCCTAGAGGGACCACTGTCACCAGTGCATCATACTCAGATCTCCTAAAAAATCATCTTCAGCCTAAAATCAAATCAAAGCGACGTGGATTGTTGTCCACAGGTATCCTTTTGCAACATGACAATGCAGGGCCCCATACTGCCCATACAACAGTTGCGACAATCAATGACCTGCATTTTGAGTGTCTTCCTCATCTGGCATACTCACCAGACCTTGCCCCAAGTGATTTCCGTATGTTTGGACCACTCAAAGAAGCAATGGGAGGAAAGACGTTGCGTTCTGATGAAGAGGTATGCCACGTGGTGCATGAGTGGACTACCAAAAGAATTTTTTTCTAAACGAATTCATGCACTTTGTAAGCGCTGAAGGACTTGCATTGAGCTTGGGGGAGCTTATGTTGAAAAGTGATACAGCTTTGTACTACTTGTGCACAATAAATAATAATGAAAAAATATTTAAGGTTTTTATTTGACTCGCCTACGTATAAAGATAATAAACAGTATCGAAACCAGTACTGTGATAAACGATTTCATTGTTCAGAGCTAAGGAATGAACCACTGACATGACCTTACGTAGGTCTGTTTTGGATTCAAACCCAAGGTCAAACTGTCAGCACTTCCAAAGAGTGCACGTGTCCTGTGTCATATATATATATAAAACATTCGGCCAACTCGGGGTGCTGCTTGCGTCATATATATAACATTGGGCTGTTAAAGGTTAATGGATCTGCTCCTGCTGGAAAGCTGCAACTTACCCCTATTTGTTTGACACTGGGTCTACTGAACTGGAGATCAAAGCAATAATTTGTGAGGCTTCTGATTTTTGGATGATGACGATCATTGCACATACAGATCACTGGTACTCGAGAACTCTTAATCAACTGTATAAGTTCTTGCATGCCACCTCGATCCTCATTGCCTGCCATGCCATCAACTTCATCCATTATCAGAACATGATTTTCTGTTGGCTTTCTTCCTGCAGCACCTTGGATATCAAAATGCAAATGTTACTCATATTTCTCAGTCAATAAAGTGGTCACATTTATATGAATAAGCCTCACATATGCAGTACCTAGCATATACCACAAATTTAACACTGCTAAATCCAAAGCATGTCACTGAACATAATCCTTTACTTGCAACCCATTTCCAAAACATTCATCTTACATTTTTTCCACCTATCTAATTGATCTTCAAAGTGGTTACTGTGTATGATTCTTCCCCATCAGAATTCTGTATGTCCTTGTTTTCCCACCATGTTCAGTGCATCAAGCCTCACTGACACAAGAAGACACTATTCTTCATTACGAAGTATCCTAAATTGTTCACTTTACCTTTCTAAGGTCTGAATATTTTCTCAGAACTTTATTTCAAAAACCTATAATTTGTGTTCTTCCCACTGAAGATCAGTCCACATCTTGCTGGGGGGATGGGAGAGATTTCAAGTTTTCTTTTCCTTCACTGTTACCTTCTATCACTTACACATGCCATCTATCATACCATTCTATAATCTTATTTTAGTCTTGGCCACTGATCCCCTTTACATGACATATCATCCCTTACTCACTAAAGCATTCTCATACTTGAATGGACACATCTGTTTGTATATATCACAGCTGATCTTTTCTAATACACTAAGATCCACTTATTAAGGTCACGGTAAAGCTATCCTTGTAACAGTCCATGGAAGCCCACAGGGTTGTGCTATGTTGAGGCTCCCACATTTTCTAGACAATTGGCTCAAAGATGGTGGTGAGGTTGTCAGACATATGTGCCGGACACCCCTTACCCCAGGAAGATTCCTGGTACTCATTTCTGTCAGAGGCTGAGTTGACTCCAGGGCCAAAGTGCATCTGAAAAATCTAATGACATCGGGAATTAAACCCGCAACCTTCCAGCTTATAGTATAGTGTCTCAACTACACTACAGAGTGCCCAAGGTTTGTTAACTTTTCAATCATGTACTTAAAAGAAATTAAATTCAATATTTAAGTTCACAGCACAAGTAGCCAGACACATAATATAAATGCAGAATTCATCCCTGAGGACTCCATGTATCTTCATATATACTAGAGGAGGAATATCTGAAAGACAAAATTGATGAGCTTGCAATGAACAGTAGGATCAAGAACATTAGCAACCTGTACAGAGAAATAAATGACTTTTAAGAGGGGATACCAGCCTAGCAGTAACTTAGCGAAGGATGAGAATGGTGATCTGCCTGCAGATTCCCACAACATTTTGAATAGGTGGAGGAACTACTTCTCTCAGTTATTGAATGTACATAGGGTCAGTGATGTTAGGAAGACAGAAATTTATACAGGTGAGCTGTTAGTACAGGTAGTGATCAAATTCCGGCAGAACTTATTCAAGCAGGAGGTGAAATATTACATTCTAAGATTCACAATCTAATTACTTCTATTTGGCATAAGGAAAAATTGCTGATCATTGGAAGGAGTCTATTATTGTACTAGTTCACAAGAAGGGTGATAAAACTGACTGTAGTAATTATGACATAAACACCGTCCCAACTGCAACAATCTGTTGTAGTTCTTTTGTCTTGCCCTCTTCTACACTACATGTTTCGGCCACAAACGGCCATCATCAGGTGTATGCACTTATGTAGCTGTTACACTGCATCTAGTTTAAAATTTAAGAGGGCAAGACAAAAGAACTACAATAGATTGTTGTACTTGGGACGGTGTTTATGTCATATATCGTACGGAGTGCAACAGGATCCTTAAATATAATACTGACTGTAGTAATTATCAAGGGATATCACTGCTTTCAACTTCATACAAAATTGTATCCAATACTCGTATTCTTCTATCAAGGTTAAGTCCATATATAGACGAAACTATTGGGGATCATCAGTGTGGGTTTTGACGTAACAGATCAACTACAGATCAGATCTTTTGCATTCATCAGCTATTGGAGAAAAAATGAGAGTATGATGAGACAGTACATCAGCTATTCATAGATGTCAAAAAAGCCTATGATTCAGTCAGGAGGGAAGTATTGTACAATATTCTGATAGAGTTTTGGATACCCATGAAACTAGTTAGGTTGAATAAAATGTGTTTAAATGAAATGTACAGTAAAGTCTGTGTAGGTAAACATTTGCTGATAAATTTCTTATCCAGAATGGTTTAAAACAAGGAGATTCTTTAGCGCCACTCCTTTTCAACTTTGCTTTAGAATATGCCATTAGGAAGGTCCAGGGAAACCAGGCGGGACTGAAATTAAACGGGACACATCAGGTGTTGGCTTATACTGATGATGTGAATCTACTGGGTGATAATATAGATACCATAAAGAAAAACACACAAACTTTAATTGACACAAGTAAAGAGGTTTGTCTAGAAGTAAACACTGAGAAAACTAAGTATACGAGGGGGTACCCAAAAGAAACCGAACTTATTTTTTTTAAACTTATTTATTCAGATTTTAAGCACAAACCTTCAATCCCCTTCAAAGTACTCTCCACTTACACTAATACACTTGTCTAGTCTTTTATTCCATTTTTCAAAACATTGTCTCAATTCATCTTTTGAGATGCCTGACAGCACCTCCGTTGTTTTTTCCTTTCATGTCTCTTTTCATTCGAGGAAACAAAAAAAAAGTCGCACGGGGCAAGGTCGGGTGAGTATGGAGGGTGAGGAACAGGGGTCATACCATTTTTGGTCAAGAATTGTCATNCCGTTTTTAACATTTCAAGAGTTTCTGTTCCACTTTTCCCGAGCAAAAAGCAGAATTTCACCGCCGCACGCTGTTCATGAAAATCAGCCATTGCAAAAACGACGATCACACAAAACAGTTGTCACTATAAACTCTGCCGAAACTAGTCCTTACCTTCTGAAGCAACGGTAGTCGGCTTATCGACTCAGGAATGTTAGCTCTATGCGCTCATAGCGGCAAAACGTGGTACTACAAAAGCTCTGCCCACAAAAAAATTAGTTCGGTTTCTTTTGGGTACCCCATCGTACTCGTATATTGCTGTCTCATAAGCAAAATGCAGGGCAAAATCATGATATAAAGATAGGGAACAGATTTTTGAAAATGTGGCACAATTCAGATATTTGGGAACGATAACAAATCGAAACCTGATTCAGGAGGAAATTAAGAAGAGATTGAACTTGGGTAATGCTTGCTACCATTCAGTCCGGAACTTTTTGTCTTTTCGTCTGCTGTCTAAAAACATAAAAATTAGAATATACAAAACTATAATTTTGCCTGTGGTTCTGTATGGGTGTGAAACTTGGTCTCTGACATTAAGGGAGGAACATAGACTGAGGGTGTTTCAGAACAGTGTTGAGGAGAATATTTTGACTGAAGAGAAATGAAGTGACAGGAGGTGACGCATGCATGCACGCAAGCGCGCACACACACCTGCGCATGTACACAGAGTTCAGAATTAACAATTTGATTTTTTTTACAAAATCATTAAAAAAACATGGAAATATATCTGGCACAGAAGTGGTCATTTGGATTTTAGAATCAAAAGGTGCAAAAGATGGAAATGATTAAAAACTGATCTATGGCATTCATTCATGTTGATTCTATTTACAAATATATATCTGCTCTATAACTCTACACAGTGTTATATTTTAGCATCCTGTTACACTGATTCATGTCCATGGTTTATGCTGACCGTCTTACAGTGTATACACTTTTTCACCTTATTCTTCACTTCCACACTACATGTTTCAGCACTAATGTGCCATCTTCAGATGTCTTTATGCACGTTCTGCTGCTATATCCAGCAGTACAACGCATGCAGTAACAGGAGCAAAACACAACACAGAACACGATACACAAATATATGTAGGAAGAATGCTCACATAAAAGAGGATTGGCGTAATTCGCGTGTTTGGGTGGGACGCAGGAAGAATCCTGAAGTTTTATTATTTAGAATTCATCGTCCTATATGACAAATACAGATTCTAGTCATTTTAGAATGAAGACATTATGGCATGCAGTACAATAGTTTAACGTGCATAAAGACACCTGAAGATGGCACATTAGTGCTGAAACATGTAGTGTGGAAGTGAAGAATAAGGTGAAAAAGTGTATACACTGTAAGACAGTCAGCATAAACCATGAACTCTAGATAGATCAACTTACAGAGTCCAACCCTTGTCCCAAGTGACAGAAAGGAAAGCAAGCTGAGTCTGGATGGTCTAGAACCACAGAATACTGGCAAAGAGATGCAGCAATTTACCACTAGAACTGCTGTCAAAATATATGAGGCAACCTATGTTCACATCTACAAAATACTGCACACACATAACAGTAAGCAAACTGCTTGACACTCATTACTCCTGCAGGATTACTCACCCTGAAAATATCCAGACAGTGACTTGTTGTTCAGCAACTCAGACACTTCTTCATGTAGCAACTTCTTTGATCTTGTATCCGATGCATTAAATTCCACAACATCAAATCCAAGTTCTTCACAAACAAGATGTGCAGTTGTTGTTTTCCCTGTTAACAGTTTTACCATTTTAAACTGCATCATTTATTATTCATTAACAAAGTTTACCAGCATAAACAAGAACAACAAAATCACAGTGTGTTTGTTACCATCCAAAGATAGTGTATATCAGTATGTGCAATAAATCAGTGACCACTTTCTTCGGATAATCATAGAAGTGCATTATCATTCAGTGAGATTTGTGGTGATTCCACACCCCTGAGATCCTCAGCTAAATAGACCCCACTAGTAGCCTACACCCACCCAACAACCTTATTTCATCTGAATCATCAATCCTGTAATAAATAAATATAGAACAACAAAGATGTGGATTACTAATTTGTAGACTTATCAGTTACAGTACTGTTAGCCTCACCGTACAGGCTGAATCATTTGGAGGAAAGTGGGTATCATATTATTTTCAAGAAATTACAGGACCCTCTTCCACATTCCACAAACCATGACACCAAATCCGTACTTACCAACACCTGGTGGACCTGATAACAATGCAGCTTTGAAGTAGGATCCAGTTTCATCTTTGGCCCATGGACCTGTCAAAAATAAAACACTTCATAAAAGGACAGCATCATAAAATGAAGTTTGGGAAAAACTGAACCTACATGCATAAAATGGAACGGTTAGCTCCAACAAATGTATCTGCTTTTATGTTCTGTCAATGGGCCAATTGATGGCCTATACTAATGCTTCCTTAACCTCATGATTCACGAATCAGTTAACACAATAAGGGTTTTTTGTGAACTGGTGCCTCACACTCCCTCCTGCCTACAGAGCCTCAATCCACAGGACCAAGGCACAATGGCCACCAGACTAGGGTCTGGAAGAGAGCTATGTCTGGCCTGCAATCTTCTGTTTGCTCCATTGACAAGCAGGAGACCATAAATGACTATGAGATGGACCTGGTGGAACAACTGTATAATAACTGTCATTATCCCGTCAACAATGGAAGGTGGCCAGTTAAGCAATGATGGCCCACTATGCCTACCTAGTCAACTCTGTGGGATTCCAGGAAGGAGAACACATCTGGTTGCATCAACCTATCTAGAGCAGAGGGGAGCCACCTAAATTGCAACCATCCTGGCAAGGGGTCACATCGCCTGACCTGCACACAACTCTTGTTTGACTTAAAAATCGAGATCCCCCCCCCCTAGATTGTTCCAGTGATCACTCAGCTTGTGCCGAAGGGTGTGGTCACTTGAGCAGGCAAGAGAAATTTCCCTGACGATGCCACACCTATGAAACTGTAAAATTCTTGCACAAGCTGACATCATTCATCAGTTACTTCAGTTCAGTGCAGTGCGCTGCACAAGCAATTAAAGCAGAGCACGCTGTGAGTCAGTGCAGTACATTAGTGACTGAGCAAGGTAGAGTAGTATCTCAGATTGCAGTTCAATTTGGTTAAGTTCAGTGACAAGACAGAAGATGCAAAAGAGGTGAGTGTCTATGAGTGAGGAGTGTGTTTCAGTGAAATAAAGAGTGGATGAAAGAACTGACCTCATGGGCATAAGTGGTTATAGATGATGGGATAGTAAAATGACTATCTGAGCATTATCCATAGTTCTATTTTTATTAAAACAATGTTTCAGAGGGTGGACTGCCCCTGCCAAGCAGAAAGTGCAAGCTGGGCACAACTGATAAAGCTGGTCCCTATCTCCAGACATTGGGCTCAACACAATGCTGGATATATAAACCAAATACATTAACCAGCTGTGAGAGTTGAGACAAAAATTTTAAGTTCTACATGCATCAGACCTATCACCTGTGGCCACACATAATGCAATGGCCAGAGTCCAACGAAAACAGAAACTGAAACCACAGAGTCAAGTTCTAAAAAAGACAGCTACAGGTACTGTGACATAAGGCCTCACAGTTAGAATAAGGAAACCAGAGAAACAGCCATCGCTAAGGAATGTATGCAAGCAACAATGGACAAACTGTTGGAAGTGGATGCAGTCCATGCTGAGGCCACACAAGGTGTCAATTTTGCACGCATTGTTGGGCTCAGAAGAGTCCAGAATTGACAGATGAAGTTGGAGGTTGGCAGGTGGAAGTCAGTCCAGCCCAGGCGCTAGTTGATGAACGAAGCGCACCAACTGCAGACAGCAGACATAATGTTGGCATGAGATGGTCACCACCCTGGGAGAACGTGAGCCCAGAAGCAGAGGAACGTCTGTTGTTGGAAGACGTTAGCAAGCAACATTACTGAAAACACTAAATCTATGTGATACTGATCTGTAAGTGTAGTCACAAGCTGTGAAAGTGTCCAATAAATCAAGTTATTAATCCAAAACCTGTCTATACTCACTCTTATCACATGACAATACTATAAAATAAAAGACAGGACATTAATGTATGAGGGGTAGGCCTTCTCAGCCCTTGTACTGCGACCTACAGTGGTCTATTGTTCTTAAAGACAGGACATAGTCTATCGACCTGTAAAATCACAGATAAGACAAAGATAGATATAAATACAGAGGATTAAAATTGGAGCAGATAAACTTTCCTAAATACCAATGAGGACCTAGCAAATAAACCATTACATACATGGGGCACCTGTGTTGTACTAATACAAAAGCAGGGCATTCCTATATAATCTAAATCTGATGGAGCTGTAACTTCCTGACTGGAGTCCAGACAGGAGATATAGCCAGGCTGGAGTGACTAATTGGACGAGCTATGAGAGATGTGGGCTGATTCTGTTTCATGTAGGTGGTGTTTGATTCAATCTGCAAAACTTTTGCTTATTTCCAAAATATTACCATGTCTTTCATAAGCATGTTGGGCTGTTTTTGATTTTTTGAGCAGACCTTGAATACATTGCATTCATGCAGTCTTCTAAAGGTCTGCCTGTTTTGCCCGTGTAACATCTACCACAATCAACATGGAATACTGTACACACATTGCTTCACATGCTGGGCACCTGTAACAGGTCCAGTTTCCATCAATGTCCCACAGACTTATGTTTAGTTCTGAAAATGGTCCTAAAACTGAAGTGATCTCAATGCATCAGATTTTTTTCAGAAATATCTGTAATGTATGGTTTAGTGACCATGCTATGAAATGTTCTCTCTGCAGGATGGATGATTCTCCCTGGCTTCATAATGGACTCCATGATATGACCTTGTTCCAGTGACCAAGCTATGTATAACTCCTCTTTTCATTTGATGGGGCTGATCAGGTTTGAATGTAAATAACTTCCTGCATGGGTAGGTTTCCTGTACATTTTTATGGTTACATTAGCACCACTCTTCATGATCATTATGTCCAAGAAAGGAACAGGAACAGAATTGTTAACTTCCACTCCTGTTGTGAATTTTATGGTAGGTCTGAGGCTGCTGAGGTGGTAAAGAAATTCTTCTAATCTTACTGGTCCACACTTTGGAAACACAAAATTACAGTCGATCCATCTGAACCATTTAGTGAGTATGTGGTCTGACGTATCCAGTGCTATTTCTTCAAGGTGTTCCATAAATATACTAATGACCACTGGTGATAGAGAGCTTCCCATTCCCTCATTTCGCTGTTAGAATTTATCATCAAACAGAAGTATGGTGTTCTTAAACAAATGTCCAATAATTCTATGATGTCTTATCCTCCACCAGCAACTTGGTGAACAGACTGACCACCTCAATAATAATAAGTGGGATAATAACTGCTCCAGTTCCTGATGTTACAATATTAACATCTTTCTGTGACAATGAAATCAAACAGATGTCATAATAACTCAGACTGAACCATTAGAAACTACTAAGACAAAGACATATGAAATAATTCAAGATGAAAAAGTTGCTGAGTACTCACTTGGCCTTACAAGCTTCTTCTTTCCTGAGTGATTAGAGTGCCAACTTTGCAGCCACTTGATTAACTTCTTCACATTGCTGCGATCACCTTGTTGCCCTATGATGTGTTTTGTAGATACAGGCTTATATTTGTCAGCCCACAGTGAATGACGTTGGAAAGTGGTGTTCCTTGCACTTGGAGGTGATAGTGAAATATCTTGCTTTTCTAGAACTAATACAAAACAAACTCAGACTTAGGAACCAAATTACAGAAGAAAAACGTCAGTCACCTTCACCTGATTACATAACAGGGCTCTGGAGTTTCTCTGTGTGTGAGAGCAACTAATTATTATTTACATGCACATAACACTGGCAAAGCTTCAAAATTATTTTAAAAGTCAGTGAAGAAATTAATGTCAAATGCAGAGAGAACATGTACACCTAAACATCTTAAGAAGTGGCGGGCCATGCATGGACGCAAGAGAAGCAATGCTTCCATAGTTAAGAAACAAAAAGAAAAGATGTCATATATAAATAATTCAATTTGAATAATAAGAATGTGAATATAGTCATTTAGCGCGTGTTCTTGCTCAAGGCCACATGCCGCCTCCTCCACCTCCCTTACCCTGCTTGGTGGGAAGGACCAAGTTTCCTTTTGTTAATCCGCGTACGAATTCATCCCATCCAAAGTGGCCAACAGAAGCAAATTTCGGTTTGCTGGTAAGACCAGCGAAGAAATCTGTTCTTTCAATGGTTATGTGAAAATTAACTGTGTATGTGTGATTTCAGTCTTATTGGGTGTTATAGGTAACATTAAGTTTTATTAAAATATTGTAAGTGCATATTTATATGGTGTAAGATTGTATTTGTGATCATATTTTCATGCATCAGAAAGAAGCCATCCGCGTTTAAGGGAAGCAAGTGTGATACTGTGGTACAAGTTGCAGGGAAGTGATTAGACTACCTGCACAGGGAACAGCTAAAATGAATGCTGGCAGGCAACACAACTGCACAATTGAAAGCCTTTTAAAACGGGGGTTCAATAGCAGGACTTTTCTGAAAAGAAAATAATTATAGAAAGAGGACAACCGACATGAAAGTTGCCGGAACTTAATTACAAACCAAATTATGTGTGAGGAAATTTAATTTGGAACAGTATTCTAGAACAGAGTGGCTATCCGGTTGCCGTAATATAGGAAAACTGTTTTGTTGGCCATGCCTACTGTTTCTCAATGAAAAAAATGTATGGAACAAGACTGGGTTTGGTGATATCAACAACCTTCATAAAGCACTGAAATGACATGAGAACTCTCAGACTCACATTATTTCAACAATGCAACTCGTTATGTTTGGGAAATCTCGAACTGACTGTCAACCTCACAATCAAAAGCGCCTGAAGACACTACAGCAGAATGAAAAAAAAAAATAAATAAATAAATAAAAAATAGAGAAATAATGAATGCTTGATTGATATCATCTGCAATTTAGGAAAGTGGCAACTTCCCCTCCATGGTCATGATAAAAGAGTGGATTCTATCGACCAAGGTAATTATGTGGAATTAGTTCACTTGTTGAGGAAATATGATCATAAACTCAATGTTCACCTTGAGAACAGTACAGTATTTACATGTTTATTGAACAGAATACAAAACGACCTTATTGACTCAATAAGTGATGTAAATTTTGGTGAGTTGATTGCTATCAGTTCGTTTATTAGATACCACTGCTTCCCTTGCCAAAAATAGTACCGCACACCATTGATCTTAAGAAATTAATATCACGTTGTAATTAAATCTCTGGTGTTGAGGCAAATATCCATTTTTCTTTCTGAGTTATATTATTATGTACAATCAAACTCATTTACCTGTGGGTGGCCATCAAAACATGTATCATTTATGTATGGTGACCATTTTCTTTCCAGATACATACATGGTGCTATCCAAAAGTTCCCGAAATATATTAATAAAAACTACTCATATTACGTTTTACCTGGATCTTATTCTGCACCATCACCTTCAAAGTAGTCCCCTTGGGAGCGCATACACCGATCCTAGCGTTTCTGCCACTTTTGAAATGCATCCTGGAAGTCTTTCTTTGTTAGGGTGTTTAGTACCGTCTGAGTTTCCGCTTGAATTTCCTGTATCAAATCTTCACCCCTTCAACTTTATTTTCATCTTGCGTTTCTGCAACGGTTTTCCCAAGTTTAAAACAAAACTTTATACTGACACGCTGCTCTCTCAGGTCAGCCATTGCAAAACCGCAAACTCACGCAAATACAACAACGGAAATACGTTCACCAACAATAAACCCAACCACTCAACTCGACGCTGCTTGCCACACTGATTCAAGAAGGGTGTGCAAGGAGACACCTAGCAGTATTTCGATGTACTCATATCCATTCGTGCACAAAATTCAAATTTCGGGAACTGTTTGATAGCAGCACGTACAAAGAATTGTACAGGGAGCAAACACAAGCAACATATCAAGGTGACTGCAGGAAGATGGGTAATATTTATAATGGTACACACTTTATAGGTACAATGATGGTAATGACTGTCTCAATATCAACGAGCGTTATGTAAATGCTACATAAGACACAGATATTAACATATGTACCTTATGGATATCTACAGTCAGTTTTCTACACAGCACTTCCATGACACACTTGTGTGTTATGGTCTCTTACCAACAACAGAAAACTGCATTTGTTAAAAAAAAAGTGAAAAAATACATAGATAAAAGATTAAATATACAATGGATGAAATTACATAACCAAGAAGCCCCTGATTTATACTCTTCTCCTGAGATTGTCAGGGTAGTAAAATCAGGTTATTACATGCTCAATACCATAACTTTCCCATACAAGTCCGTATCTAGAAGCTTTCTGATATTAATTTTATCACCTTACATCCACATTATTAACAATAAACCCAACTTATATCTTTATTCTTTATTATATCTTTATTCTTTATCAGGAACAACATATGGTTGGAGTATTATACTAACAGGATCTTCACTTAAGATCTTCAATCAGGTTAATTTGTAGCTGGTAGGAATGAAGTTGGGCATAAAAGGATTGGGGTAGGGTTAAAGGACTAACCTCCATCTACAGTGGAGCTATACCTCTAGTCCCAAAGTCTTTATGGTACCATGATTAATTAAGCACAGGGACAACGCTTAATGGCTTATGTACTTCTTGAAACAGTATTATACAGAGAGTGAGCCCAAATTACACACCTTAAATATATGCAAGATCTAAAAGTTTGTGACGACGGTACAATAGTACAAATATTATGTTTTTGGACATTATCCATCATCTTGTCTTTATCTAAACAACAGTCTTGTTTATTTTTCAAAACACAACGTTTTGGAGACTGGCTTCTCTCTCCATCTTCAGGTAAAACCTACTCAGTTAAGCCCAACTGATAGAGTTAGAGTCTATCTCCAGACACCTGTGCCAGCACCAAGATGGGGTATACAAGCCAAGCACAGCACAAACCATCTGTGAGAGCTAAGAAAACATTAAATTATTGAAACTCCACATGTATGAGGCCTTGCACTAGAGAAGAATCTCAAGCGAAATCATTGCTGGAGAGAAGCAATGCTTCTTATGGTACCAACGCAAGAAAAACAGATTTTTTTTTTTCACTCAAACTACACTTGACAACATGGTAGCCTCTTGACTTCTGCTGTGATGACAGGGACCCACATGTAGGATGTGACTGCTGAAAAGTACACCATGGCTTTTGTGATTATTCTGGTTCTGTTTTTGGTGCTGCAGAACTCACAGTTGTCTGTTGCCTTGTCTTTTAGTTGCTTTTGCAGCTGAATCTAGTTAGTTGTGGATGTTACCTGTTTTGTCAGGAACTGCCTCCTCATGTGGCATGGCTTAGGTACCGGAGGTATCAGTGTCCAATTCTGTTGTTCTAAGGGGGAGCGAAGACATTTCAGGTGACAACCTCCTTGGGGGCAGGATATTTAAAGTGGCAGACGTTTTGGCTTGCACTGCTGGTTTCTTTGAAGTTTGAGTTCCCCCTTTACTGTTGCACCGCTTGTGCGTACGAACTTCTCTGAATCCTCTGTCCTGGGTTATTTGTTCACCTATGACGTTTGATGATTTGGTCTGGCCTTTCAGGGTGCTTGCCTTGAGCATGGCCTTTGACTTGTTAAGTGTAACAGTGCATGTGCTATACAGGGCACTAAAGAGGGTCTTTAGAGTGAGAGCTTTCAAGTACCTACTTCTGTTGTCCTCTGCAGTCCTGACTACTGATGTCCACTCAACACTTTCTCCCACTGAAGCTGGTGGGTAACCTGTCACGCCCTCAATGTCAGAGGATTTTAAACAGCTGTTTTGGCTGTACTTCTGCATCAGAATGTTTAGCTTCTAAAAACTGGTTATCAGCTTTTACTGATGTTCTTTTGTCTGTCCAGAATTTTTGATAACCCACCACTGGGTAATCTGCCATTTTTGACATGATGCTCACTTTGCACTTTGTATCCTAGAGTTCCAATGAACACCATAAGTGCAACAGAATACAAACATATGCAACAGTATAATGATGTTTTCTCTAATGGTTACACGATTACACAAATGTACATTTCTCATCAACTGACTCATAACTGACTATCTTACTCTCTTCTCTCTGTGCTGCTCAACTGAATTCTTCTTTACAACCAATCTGCACAGACCCCACAGAAAGCACTGTCTTCTATTGTCTTGTATTGTTTTAGGCATTTTTGCTGTGCCACTTCATAGCAACAGTCACAGTATTCCGTCTTTACTGTAGGTCATGATTTGATTGTAAGAAAATTGAGTTCCTAGTGATGATATACATTAGGTTTCACTGTGTTCTTGGGAGCAAGGAAATATCTCAATAAAGACAAATTTCCTTTTAATCAAAATTTTGTGTTAGACCTGCATTTACTGTACACTGTTTGTTTAGCATGTGCAAGGTGTTGGTTACTGAGACACATTTCAGGAGTAAAAAATACAGAAATATGAATGAGACCCATAAAAATTACCAGAAATACAATTATGATGGTTCATCAGCATAATTACCAGGCATTTCTGTTTCTTCTTTCTTAATGTTTTTCTTGATACTTTTCGATGTCTCTATTCTGGTTCCATGTGTAATATCATTTCTGCTCAAGTTATCCTTATGTTTAATTTTCTCATCCTTTTTAATAACTTCCTCTGAATCCTTTGACAGCCTTTCTGTGTCTGGTAAGCATGACCTTGCTCGAATAAGAGCAAAGAGTTCATCTTCGGTTAGATGTGGTGTGTTTAATTTTGCTGCCTAAAAATAATAAAATAAATATTAATAAAACTTGCATTAGGTAAGGTGCACTTCTGGTTCCAGTGTCCTAACTGGCACAAAGAAATAAACGGGTATCAGACCATCATATACAGGGCAATTCATAAGACCCTTCAGTATTTCTGAGCTCGGCAGTACAACAACCAGGACATAATGCATCAGAAAGCAGCATATCAAGAGGCAGATAATCTCTCAGAGTTTCAGAATTACTGGGTTTTTGGACTTATTCCATCATCTGGTATTCTAGAAAACAGAAAAAACGACATTTGGGTACTGGATTTGTTTCCATCCTCGGCTGGGGGGAAGACACTCAGTTCGGTCGCTAAAAACAGAGCTAACCTCAATCACTGGAAAACCCCTGTCAACGTCATTTTACGACCAACAGTCAGTTGGCCAGTCTGTCTTGGAATAAATCACCCATCTGGGCCTTAAAACCAAATCTTTATTTCCATCAGACAGTTGCAGGTTTCTTGATGTGGGACTCTCTCACTGACAAGAGGATGGGGTCTGTTGTTTGCCAAATTCAGTCCACAGTAATAAGTATGTTGTCCGTATGTACAATTTACATTTTACATGTTATTAAATGTATGTAAATACAATGTTCTTGGGGGTAAAGGGCGGCTGGTGCATAAGGCTGACAACCTTACTGCTATCTATGAGCTGACTGTCAAGAAAATGTGGGAACCTCAACATCTCACAAGCCTATGGACCTCCATGGCCTGTTACAGGGATACCTTTAATTTTTTTTGTGAGGGGCAGTCAAATGAAAATGGGTCAGAAGCCAAAACATATTAAACAACATTTCTTACTTTAAAAGTAATCACCAAAACCGTTAATACATTTATCCCACTGGGAGATAAGATGGTCAATCCTATCCTTGAAAAAGTTTGCGGGCTGTCTACAGAACCACATCTTTACCCATCCACATGCGTTTTTGTCCGATGCAAAATTGATGTCCATGAATGTCTCTTTTCAGGTCTCCAAAAATGTGAAAATCACAAGGGGAGAGATCTGGGCTGTAGGGGGGATGTTCAAGCACTTCGCAACCAAATCTCTAGAGCGATTCCTCACAGAGTTGGCAGTGTGGGGGCATGCATTATCATGAAGGATAATGCCATTCGACAACATTCCAGGGCGTTTTGACTTTATGGCATGCCTCAGTTCTGCGAAGTGTCTTCATAGCGCTGTGCACTGATTGTGGCCCCATGCTCGAAAAATTTGACAAGCAAAGGGCCGTTGCAGTTGAAGAAGAACGTCATGATCACTTTACCGGAACTTGTGTGTACGGCTTTGGGTTTCTTTGGTTGGGGAAAATTCATGTATTTCCACTGTTGGCTCTGCCATTGGCTCTCAGGGTTCAAAATGGTTNCCAACGACGTCTTGGCTGCGGATTTTTTTTCATAATGTTATGACCACAAAGGGTTAATGAAGAAAATAACTGGTGGTCACATCTAATATCGTCTGCGTCATGACTACCATTTGATTATTACTAACCCTATAAGTGTCTAGTGTTGCATATTTCAACCTTTACGGACAGAAACATACAGTCAGAGCCTTAACATCTGCTGGCATTTTATCTGTACAGTAATCTCTGTTTTCAGGCATATGTGAGGGATGTGGTCAGCAAGGTACATGAATGTGTTGGCTGCACACAAAAAAATTTTTAGATACCAATTCAAAGTCAAAACAACACATTTATGCAAGAGTCATCTTAGGTGACACAATGGAAAATGGGTGACAGATTTCAGATAAATACAGTGATGAGATCACAGAATCAGCTACTGAATGGTGGACAAATACAGTATATGCTCATCACAAACTTGTTTCTGAAGAAGTTTATATACATGGTAAATTTCTCTGAAATTACTGTCAGTTGGATAAAAGTTTTGGATGCTTGGGTACCAGTTAACTGAGTGTTTTGCATACATAGGAACATTTGAAGGGAATTTTCTTCAGATACCTGAGGTTCTTAAGAGGTGTTTATATCTGGTATTTACCCATGAAAGATGAGCAGTAATGTCCTACAATGGTAACTTGGGAAGACAGCACAGCAAATGATAGTGATAAAACTGAATGGTTGGATGTGATCTTAGTGTTACTGAATATGGTGAAAGTGAATAATAATGTAAGATTTGAGGTTTTCATGGTGGTGACTATGAAGAATGCTGTCTTCTGGGATGCAGTGCCATGTAGATCCTGTGTACAATCATGTTTTGGAGGAACGTATCACCTTCATCTTCAGGGTAAAAAATCCGCAAGCGAGGAACCAGCTTGAGCAGGTGACTGTAGACTTGAGCGACCACTTGAAAAACACCCAGATATATAAGAACAGAAAGAGAGGGAGAGTGAGCTATATGGGAAATCAATAGAGATGAGAGGGGAAAGGCCTGTGGAAATGTGCCAGCATATAGCAGGCCAGAGCCAGTAGAGGATCATGTTGGGGGGAGGGGGGCAGGGCTACCAGGAGAGCATTTACCCAGTAGCCTTGTGGCTAAGCTGTTGAGCGTGCATTGACCTGTGCATAGCATTGTAGATCTGGCATTATATTCTGTAGGTTTTTTGAGGGAGAAGATGAGAGGCTTCCATGACTTCCTGAGACAAAAACCCACCTCTCTGTCCATACTGTTGAGATGGAACTTGTCCTCAATGGCTGAGCAGGTTTTATGCATCACTGATGACATAAGAGCCAGGCACTGCAGAAGTTCCAACACTTACATAAGGTACAGAACCCACCCCAACCCCCTGACAACCTGAACTCTGGCATTCGTCCCCATCAAGGATATCCTGTGCGGCGTCAAGAAGGCAATAGGGGGCCTTGCCCAAAGAGACTGCAGAGATCTGACAGGAGAATGTCAGGATCCTCAAAAGCTCCTCTAGACCCAAGGACAACCTGACTGGTGCCAAGAGGGGAGAATTTCAGGCCTTAAAAACCAATCAGGCTCTCACTGTCCTTCTGGCTGATGAGGGTAATGTGGTCATTGTACTGGGTACTTCAGACTACAACCAGAAGATCACCGCTCTTCTGAAGGACAAGGCCTACAAGAAGTTGAAGAAGGACCCTACTGATTCCATAGAGCGCAAGACTGTTCTTCTCCTGAAAAAGTCCTCGACTGCTGTGGAGGTTTGCCAACAGCTACGACCATAATGTTCCAGACCACCTAGACTCTACGATTTCCTGAAGATCCACAGGCCTGATGTTCCATTAAGATCCATTGTGAGCATTATTGGCTCCCCTACCTATTGCTTGGCCAAATACTTAGCTGGCCTGCTTAGCAACCACATTGGCCACTCAACTCCACATGAAAAACTCAGTGGAATTTGTCCACCCCTTGGGTTCTCTCCAAGTTGATCCTCATGATATAATGGCCAATTTCGATGTGGTGTTGCTCTTCACCAGGGTGCCTATAAAGGATACTATGGATCTGCTAGGACAGTTTGAAGAAGATATCTTGAGATTCTTCCACCATGTCCTGACCACCTCATACTTCACCTTCAATGGCCACTTCTACAAACAAATTAATGGTGTGGTCATGGGCTCACCACTGTCTCTGGTCATCGCCAACTTCTATATGGAGGATTTCAAGGAGTGGGTGCCTGACTTGGGCACCCACAAGCCCCTCTGCTGGTTTTGCTATGTGGATGACACCTTTTTTTTTTTTAATTTGTTTAGTGGGGGTGGAGTCCACCTGGGTCCGCTCAGCATGGCGGCCACTAACTGGCCTACTGTACCTGCCCTGGGTGATTATGATGATGGAGAATTTGGTGGAATGAAGATTGGCAGGGGAAACTGAAGTGCTTGGAGAAAATCCACCACAGAGCCACTTAGTCCACCATAAGTCCCACTTGACCAGACCCAGGCTCAAACCTGGGCCACCATGGTGGGAAGCCAGTGACTAACCGCTTGAGCTATGGTGTGGCTCCTGGACGACACCTTCGTCATCTGGTCACACAGACCTGACAAGCTGAAGGGCTTCCTGAACAACCTAAACTGTATCCACCAGTGCATTCAGTTCACCATGGAGACCAAAACTGAGGGCCAAGTCCCCTTCCTTGACATAGATATTTACAGGAGATCCAACTGCTCTGTGGGCCACAGAGTTTACCGTAAACCTACCCATACCAATCTCTACCATAATGCTGGGTCCCACCACCATCCATCCAACAAGCAAGCTGTACTTTCCAAATTGGTGCACAGGTCTACAGCTCTATGCAATCAAGACAACCTACATGCAGAGTTGGTGTTCTTGAGGGAAGTTTTCAGGCAGAATGGATACAATGACAGGCAGATCCATTGAGTCCTCAACCGTCATCTGAATATTAGTCAGCCCGATGATAATCCTGACTCAGTCGCCGTCCTGCCTTATGTCGGGACTATATTTAACCAAATCAGTAGTGTGCTGTCCTGGCACAATATCAAATCTGTGGGCCTGCCTCCCAAGGAAGTACCTAGTACCGACTTGGGGCACTGCATTCAATTTCACAATACCTTCAGCCTCGCTACCAACACCCAATACATGGATTGCATCATTAGGGAGGCCATTGAGATCTAGCTCCATCCCAACAATATGAACAGAGAGGTGAGTTTCTGTCTCAGCTAGTCATAGAAGCCTCTCAGCTGCTCCCTCAAGAAACCTCCAGAATATGACGCCAGATCTACAAAGCTACACAGGTTGATGAATGATCGGCAGCTTAGGGCTGAGGCTCCTGGTAACCCTGCCTTTCCCCCAGACATGATCCTATACCAGCTATGGCCTGCTACCTGCTGGCCCATCTCTACAGACCCTTCCCCCTCCTCTCTATTGATTTCCCATGTAGCCCATTCGCCCTCCCTTCCTGTTCTTATATGGCAGGGTGTTTTTCAACTGGTCACTCAATCTGAAGCTACCTGCTCAAGCTGGCTCCTTGCTTGTGGATTTTTCTACCCCGAAGATGGAAGTGATTCATTCCTCCAAACCTTGGTTCACACAAGATCTACATAGTGCCACATCCCAGAAGATGGCATTCTAAATGATGATAGCAAAAATTACATTATTTTTGATCATGACTATACTGATTCAGTGTTTGAAAATGACCACATGAGGAATGATGATTCCAACATGATACATCACACAAATGGTGGACTGCAATACCACTACTAATGAATATTCTGTAATGAAATTTTGATTAGAAGGCACTAATCTAGTAAACAATGTTTTGTACACACAGCTTTTTAGCAAGGTTCTCCAAAATATATATATAAAAAATTTGTACTGTGTATAATTTAGTTCACTTGAATGGTTCTCAGTCATGATAATTTACATACAACACATTCTCTTCTAAAGGATGCATGATAAGCCTATGCAAGTTAACAATTATAGCAATGGTCTGCATTTTTGCTGAACCTGAATTTCGATGTGGCAGCTTTTTAAGAATTACATCTGGCACTTGCAGGGTTGACTACCATATGAAGACATGTAAAATAAAATACCTTCTCTATTTTTGCTGGACCAGGTTCTTCTCCCACAACAAGGTAGTTGGTGTTGCGACTAACACTGGAAGTCACGCGACCACCACACTGTTTTATGAGAGAACTAGTTTCTTCTCGATCAATTGTCTCCAACACTCCTGTCACAACAAACACCAGCCCTGACAAGCAGCCTGGTCTCCCCTGTCAAAGCAAACATGATAGCACTAATAATGGTGACCATCAATCTGAACACTGCCCATTGTCTACAGTTGTTTCCAACAAAATTTTCTGGAAGCTGAGTGTTTCCATCACCTGGGAGGAAATATTCCTACTCAGCCGAACCTGTTGGAAAGATACAAGTACTATGTTTTTGGACATTACCCATCGTCTTGTCTACTGAAAGAAAAAAAAACTTTTAGATATTATATGCTAGAAAGAGTCAGACTCAATCGCTGGACAATGAAGAAATGTCTAAGCAGAGTACTCATTTTCATTCTAAACGGTCCTGCTGATGGTGCATTACACCTGGGATTGCTGAGTTTCTGGATTCTTTCCATCTTCTAGCACTCTGAACAAATATGTTTCAAAAACTCAACGTTTCCAATCTCATGTGAAAGGTGGGGAGGCACTTAAATCTGTTATAAACATACAGAATTACTGGTAGTAATCCACGGAGTTTAACAGCAAATATCAACAGAAGATAATATTGTAAAACTGCCAATAGAAGTTACAGAAGAAACCACAACAAAACCAAAATTGAATCCTTTACAGGTAAAGCTGTAATCTATCAGAAAGTATTCTGAGGTATTTGCACTATGCAGGACAACCCGCTCCAGCGGTGACATAACAGCATTGGAGCAACTGCTGCTGCTACGGTAACAGGCCAGTCAACACTCCGTCCCCCTCCCCGGTGATGATGTAACAGCACTTCCCACTGTGACGTAACAAGGGGACACCGCTGGTAACACGAGGCAACAGGGAACGGTATAAAGAGCCGGCTGAGCAGTATGTGAGCAGTGTGTGCGATCAGAAGCGACACAGTGTGGATCATGAAGTCGCCGAGTACAGTTGAAGTCTAGCAGTGGCTGAGAGCAGGAGAAGTATTTTTTGATACTGCAGAGGGCAGTAATCGTGTAATTGTGAATTATATAAGTGTAAGAGCGAATGTGTAATAAATTCGCTATATTCAATATGGCGTGAAATTATTTGTCACTAATTTTTTTGGATCCTCCCAGGTCCCGTATTGACCTTCTATTTCTCCCGTATATTTCATTAACAATCAAGATCGCAAAATTTAAATTATATATTATTCCCGCCAAATACATTCCGATATAAACTGTCATTATTATCGACAGATTAGACTTAGAGGTACTCATCGATAAATATCGAAAAATTACCTATAATAATCGATAGAAAGTTTAGCAAATACTAATCGATAGCGGAATATCCGTTTCCGGATTGTAACATTTTCTGTTCTTGCTTCTTCCCGTGTTCATCCCCGTGCTTTTAAATAATTATCAAATTGAATCCATTTTCATAATGAGTAGTGACAGTGAAAGTGAAAGCAACAATGCAAAAACTCCACCTAAGAAGAAAACTAAATACTTGTGTGTTTACTTGAGAAAATGGGAAGAACAATATTTATGGTTAAAGTCCGTGCCCTCCAACGTTTACAGAGCTTATTGTATACTTTGTAAACGCGAGTTCAGCATTGCTCACGGGGGTAATACTGACTGCAGACAACATTCTTGCACAGAAGGGCATAAACGAAAGGAAAGGAACATGAAGACCTCTTCAAATTTACACCTCTTTTTCGGGAACAGCAGCAAAGACTTCCAAAACGTTGCAGGTGAGCTAGCATTGGTTTTCCATACTGTAAAACACAACATCGGCTACAGAAATATGGATTGCGCAAATAAGTTATTGAAGGATATTTTCCATGACTCTATCTTGGCTAAGAAGATGTCCTGTGGTCGAACAAAAGCAGAGGCTATTGTGAAAAATGGCTAGCGCCAAGAAGTGTGCAAGACTTCATCGATGTGTTGAAGGATCCAGCAAAATCAAGCAACTTTTTCTCTATTGCAACTGATGCCTCCAACCACAAAAACAGAAAGATATTCCCGCTGGTTGTGAGGTATTTTGACCCTCTTAGTGGTGTTAAAAGTAGGCTCCTGGACTTCATTGAACAAGCTGATGAAACAGCTAATGCTACCCATAATTTGATCAAGTCTTCACTTGATACACACAAGTTAGATATAAAAAATCTAACTTCATATTGTGCAGATAATGCAAATGTGAATTATGGGAAGCA